TGACGTCGGCTTGTCGAAGATGGAAGCGGCGATTGGGGAGTTCGGCGGAGTGCAAATTTTCTGGGGCGGCTGTGCGACGTGGGCGTCGTCTGGCAGCGCAAGGAGGTGATCCGCGACCGAGCCGAGGGCGGCGAGCCAAAGGATGCACTTGAAATTTGCTAACCCGCTGCGTGCGGCCCCCTTGCCGAGCTGCGCCAATCTGGCGGAAAAGCTTCACGCAGGCGCCGTCGCTGGTCCGGATTGCGCCACAGCCCTCATGCAGCGAAGCATCCGTTGCGGACATCCTTGGTAGGGCGTGTTTCTGTAATGCTTGGGCCACAACGCGCGTTATCCCCCCCCCCCGCCCCCCCCATAAGGTAACGCTCCGGCCCCCAGTGCGCCGCTGGCACTGCCGCCATGCGCATAGTGATCCGCGTAGGAACCCGAGTAGGGATCCGCAGAGGCATCCGCACAAAGATCCGCATAGGGATCCGCATGGGCATCGCATGGAGATGTCCATCGGGATCCGCATGGAGATCCGCATTGTGATTCCCAGGGATCTTTGTAGACATCCGCATAGGGATCTGCATAAGGATCCGCATAGAGATGTGCGAGGGGATCCGCATAGGGATCCCCCGAGGCATCCGCATAGGGATCCGCATAGGGATCCGCATAGGGGTCCGCATAGGGATCCAGATAGGGATCCGCATAGGATCCGCATAGGGATCCGCATGGCAATTCGCATAGGCATCCGCATAGGGATCCGGATAGGGATCTGCATCGGGATCCGCATATGGATCCGCATATGGATGCTTATAGGGATACCCAGAGGGGTCCTCATATGGATCCGCATAGGGATCCGCATATGGGCGGTGGTCGCGGGCAAGTTGCGGTGCTCTCAGGCGCTTATCGTTTTCGTAAGCGAGAGAGAGGGAGAGAGAGAGAGAGAGAGAGCGAGCGAGAGCAATAGGAGGAGAAGGACGACGACGACAACGACGACGACGACACCGCCGACGACGAGGATGGAGGAGGGAGGCAAGGAGCATACATCTCATACGTCACGTGGAGGCAATGACGCCTTCGCAGACATGTGCTCGCCACAATTCCTCGTCGCTCTTCGTTGTCGGTCGTCGTCTTCGTCGTCGTCGTCGCTCTTCGTTGTCGGTCGTTGACGTCGTCGTCGTCGTCGTTGTTATCGTCTTCGCTCGTCGTCGTCATCGTCGTCGTCGTCGTTGTTGTCGTCGTCGTCGTCGGTGTCATCTTCGTCGTCGTCGTCGTCGTCGTTGTCGTCGGTCGTCATCGCTCGCGGTCGCTCGTCGTTGTCCAACACCTTCACAGGCTTTCGAGGGCCCCTGGAGGCCTTCGGATGACTTCGGAAGGCCTCTGGAGGCTTCCAGAGGCCTCAGGAGGCCTCCAGAGGCCTCGGGAAGCCTCGAGAGACCTCCGGAGGCGTCGCTCGCCGTCGTCGCCGTCGCCGTCGTCGCTCGTCGTCGTCGTCGTCGTCGTCGTCGTCGTCGTCGTCGTCGTCGTCGTCGTCATGGTCGTCGTCATCATTCGCACGGTCCTGGACGCGCAGTCTACTTCCGCACGGTCCTGGACGAGATAGGGCACAGCTTGTATACCCATTAGCTGCAGCTTTAGGTCCATAGTGACTATGCTAGGGCGTTCGCTTCCCCTGCCTTCGAAGATACCGCCATGGCCATTCCTCTTTCCCACGCGAGTCCTCATCCCATCCACGTGCATCGCTCGTGGCCGATGGCCATATTGCGTACGCTGTTTGACCTGCGCACGCTTCCTGTGCATAAGGAGTGAGCCAGAGCTGACTTCATACAGAGACTCACACTTGCGAATGCCCACCCTTCCCTCTTAGACGAATTGCGGTCCTGGGAGCCTCGCGCAGGGCGCCCGAGGCAAACGCACAATGCAGTGTGGTTGGCGGTGCCGTGCCTCCCTGTCCTGTACCATCACATCAATTTTCCGTTGCGTGAGCTATCAGTGTCTCATTCTGCCGCATGTATTCTATGTGTCAATTCGAAGCAGGCGGCAAGTGTGTGTGTGTGTGTATGTGTGTGTGTGCAGCGTGGCGGAACATTCTGCCTTAGCTGCAGGGCATATTGAAACGCGACCACGATGTAAATTTCCGGCGTGTCTAATGGAGGTTGGTTGGGGTTGGTTGGTGGACTTTGCTGTTGTTCTGGTTGCAGCGTACAGTGCATCCGTCAACGAACGCAGAGTCTCTTGGGAAGTACAGACGTAGAATGGTTACGACATTTTGGTGTCATTTTGTTGTTTTTGCTTACTTCGGTAGTTTTTGGCCCGAGCTGCGAGAGAGCTTAAGCGCCAGTTGGGCTGCACAAGAGCCCACGGGCCGGCGATAACACACACACACGCTTACCATTGCCTGTTGAAAAAACATCGTGTGCCCATCATCCATAGGAGTTCCTGGCGGCTTGGGGGTCTGCGTCCAGCTTTCGTCGGATGTGGTCGAGATCTGGACGAGATCTGGACGAGATCCGGGCGAAGCTGTGAAAAGGGGGGGTCGAAATCTGGATGAAATCCGGTCGACATCGCGTTTATAATAGGGCCGCGGAGGTCCACATGGGGCGCCCACGAAGGCTCACCCAGGGGCTTGGGCCTTGGGCCACTGGCAAAAAAAGAGGGAGGTCCCCGGGGTTGGTCACGCAGGGGTTTGCCACTCGCGAGGAAGCCCTGGCCAAGCCTGGAGCGCCCCTTCCTCCTGGGTCTGGTCAGGGTTCCCCTCCTCTTTTAAAAGAAGCCCGGCAGGAGTGTCTGGTGGCGCGTGCACAGGGACTGGCGCGACCGGGGCCAGCCTCCTGAGAGGGCAGAGGGCTTTTCGGAAGGCCAGAGCCTTCCTGAAGGGCCCCAGGGAGGGCTTCCAGTGCGCCCCCTCTTTCTGCCTTTCTCGAAGCGCCCCCCCCCCCCCCCCCCCCCGCCTTCTTTGATGGCCTCCCCCCTCGCGACCCCCTCCCCCGGTGCGCGCCGCCAAAGCGGGGGGGGGCGCCGCGGCAGGACCCCGTACGACGCCGCGGCGGTGCCAGGCTTCGCGCTGGCGCTGACAAAGCAGTTCCAGCTGGACAACCGCACGGAGGACCACTCCGCCGCGCTCCTGGGCAACGCCCGGGGCCCAGCGCTGCCTCGGCTGGCGACGGGGGCAGAGAACTCAGAGGAGGAAAAGGTACCCATACCGCTACCCTTCGCCCCTTTCCTCCTTTTTTGGCCTCCTGCGAGGCCCTCGTCGCCACCGCTGGATTCGCCTCGAAATCGTGGTCAGGGCACACCCTGGGAGAGGGGCGGGGAGCAGCGATATGGGTACCTCTGCGTGCCCCCAAAACCGCACAGTGCGCTGCGCTACTTCTGGCATCAGGTTGTATCCTCAGGTGCAGCTTCGGCCATCACCCCTCTCGATTGGGGTTGCGGATCTGCATCGCGATCTCGTCTCCGTCGGCGGCTCGTGATGCGAACGGCAAGCGCGCGAGCTATGACCATGCTGATGTGCTTGCTTTCGTGGGAAAGAAGGTGCGCTGCTGCTTCGCCCCCTCCTCCTCTGCCCGCCCTGACCTTCCAGTGCCCCCGCCGCGCCCGCTCTTGCAGACGTCGGCAGCTCCTCGGCTCGCTCCTCCGCCCGTCGGCACTCGAGCCGCGCGTGCCCAAGCGGAGGGCGTCGTCAAGCAGAAGGCGCCCCCCTGGGCTCAGAGGAGGAAGAGATGCCCATACCGCTGCTCGTCCTCGGGGGTGTTCCCGCCACCACGGCTGGACTCTCGTCGAGATTCTGGTCAGACAGCGCCCCGGGACGGGTCCGGGGAGCGGTGGCATCGGTATCTTTTTGTCTCCCCCTGGACGGGTTAGGTTCCGCAGTGCTGCAGATGTTGGGAGTGTGTCCGTATCCTGGCCCGAAGCCTTCTGTTCCGGATGGTCCCCCTTGGTTGGCTTTTCCGCGGCAGACTCAAACGGAGCGGGAAGCGCGACCCTCGTAACAGGGAGCGGCACGCCATCATGTCCGCCAGCTTCAGCCGCGGGATCGACGCCTCGCCCGACGCCGTAACCGACGCCGAACCCGACGCCGAATCCGATGCCGAATCCGACGCCTAACCCGACGCCCAACCCGACGCCCAACCCGACGCCCTTCCCGACACCCTTTCCGACGCCCTTCTCGACGCTCTCCCCGACGCTCTTTCTGATTCTGACAGGGTCCACAGTTGGTCCAAGACGGCCCAACAGGGTCCAAAGTTGGTCCAAGAGGCGCCCAAGATGGCCCAAAGGAGTCCCCAACGGGCCCCAAGATGGGGAATTCCAACTGACATTTGGAACCCTCCGAACCCAGAGGGTCCTCAAAGAGGCGTCCGTAACCATTTTCGCTCAAGACTGAGCTGCGCAAAGCCGCTCCTCTCGAAATGTCCGTTCTGGTCCCGCATCTGAGCACGCTCTTGGAGCCGTCTGGGGGGCCTTGGGCCGTCTTGGAGGCGCCTTGGGCCGTCTTGGGGCTTTCATAGGCCGTTTGGGGTCTCTCCTGGAGGCCTCTTCGCACAGTGCAGGGCCTCTGGGGGCCTCCCGGGGCGGGAGCGTGGGCTGCGGCAGCCTCCCTGGACGGGAGCTTTCGCAATGGTGTTCCGGGGGCCTCCCGGGGCGCGACCGCCCGAGGAAGCTCCCCGAGGCCCTACACCATGCGAGAACTCCCGCTCGGAGGGGGCTGCCTCTGCCTTGGAAGCCCGTGGAGACCCTATACACCATGCGAGAACTCTCCAGAAAGCTCCTGGAGGCCCTACACCGTGCGAAAGCTCCCGTCCGGCCCTGGGAAGCCTCATAGGAGGCCTGGGCGTCAGAAGCGTCAGAAGCGTCAGGAGCGTCACGAGCATCAGGAGCGTCAGGAGCGTCGGGAGCGTCGGGAGCGCCGGGAGCGCTGGGAGCGCCAGGAGCGTCGAGAGCTTCAGGAGCGTCAGGAGCGCCGGGCGCGTCGGCAGCGTCGGGAGCGCCGGGAGCGCCGGGAGTGCCTGGAGCGTCGGGAGAGTCAGGAGCGCCAGAAGAGTCGGGAGCGTCTGGAGCGTCAGGGGCGTCAGGGGCGTCAGGAGCTTTAGGAGCGCTGGGAACGTCCGGAGCGTCCAGAACATTGGGAGCGTCGGGAGCGTCGGAAGCGTCGGGAGTTTCGGGAGCGGGAGTTTTCGCAAGGTGTAGCGCCTCGGGGGGCCTCCCCGGACTGAAGTTTTCGCAGGGCCTCTGTGGGCCTCCTGCGGCGGGAGCGTGGGCAGCCTCCCCCGACGGGGGTTTCCCAGGGCGGGAGCGTGGGCAGCCTTCCTGGACGGGAGTTTTCGTGCGGGCCTCTGGGGGCCTCCTGGGGCGCGAGCGTGGGCAGCCTTCCCGGACGAGAGTTTTCGCAGGGTGTGGGGCCTCCGTGGGCCTCCCCGGGCAGGAGCGTGGGCAGTCTCCTGGGGCGGGAGTTCTCGCAGGGTGCAGGGCCTCCGGGAGCCTCCGGGGGCAGGAGCGTGGGCACCTCCCTGGGAGTTTTCGCATGGTGTTGTGGGGTTTCCTGGGGCTTCCCTGGGCGGGAGCGTCGGAAGCCTCCGGGTGCCTCCTGGGGGCAGCTCCCCTGAGTTTTTGCATGGGGTGGAGCCTCCGGGGGCCTCCCGTGGCAGAAGCGCTCCTGGACGGTAGTTTTCGTGTGGTCTCCTGGGGGCCTCCCAGTGCGGGAGCGTGGGCAACCTTTCTGGACGAGAGTTTTCGCATGGTGCCCAGGGCATCCGTAGTAGTAGTAGTAGTAGTAGTAGTAGTAGTAGTAGTAGTAGTAGTAGTAGTAGTAGTAGTAGTAGTAGTAGTAGTAGTAGTAGTAGTAGTAGTAGTAGTAGTAGTAGTAGTAGTAGTAGTAGTAGTAGTAGTAGTAGTAGTAGTAGTAGTAGTAGTAGTAGTAGTAGTAGTAGTAGTAGTAGTAGTAGTAGTAGTAGTAGTAGTAGTAGTAGTAGTAGTAGTAGTAGTAGTAGTAGTAGTAGTAGTAGTAGTAGTAGTAGTAGTAGTAGTAGTAGTAGTAGTAGTAGTAGTAGTAGTAGTAGTAGTAGTAGTAGTAGTAGTAGTAGTAGTAGTAGTAGTAGTAGTAGTAGTAGTAGTAGTAGTAGTAGTAGTAGTAGTAGTAGTAGTAGTAGTAGTAGTAGTAGTAGTAGTCGTAGTAGTAGTAGTAGTAGTAGTAGTAGTAGTCGTAGTCGTAGTCGTAGTCGTAGTCGTAGTCGTAGTCGTCGTAGTAGTAGTAGTAGTAGTCGTCGTCGTCGTCGTCGTCGTCGTCGTCGTCGTCGTCGTCGTCGTCGTCGTCGTCGTCGTCGTCGTCGTCGTCGTCGTCGTCGTCGTAGTGGAGTCGCTGCAGCGCTTCAGAAGCTCCTGAAGCTCCTGAAGCTCCGGAAGCCCCCGAAGCTTCCGACGCCCCTGAAGCTCCTGAAGCTCCTGAAGCTCTTGAAGCTTCTGAAGTTTCTGAAGCTCCTGAAGCTCCTGAAGCTCCTCTGAAGCTTCAGAAGCTCCAGAGCGTCAGGCGCGTCAGGAGCGTCGGAGCTCCTGGGACCCAGAGCGTCAGGAGCGCCAGGAGCGTCAGAAGCTCCTACAGCCCGGAGCATCGGGAGCGTCGGAAGCGTCAAAAGCATCAAAAGCGTCTCCCCCGCCGCTGACCAATGTGTGTCAGCTTCTGGTCCTCGGAAGCGTCAGAAGCTTCAATCGCGTCGGAGGGCTGCGGGACACAAGCCGCTGTCTCGCTCGATCTTTGCTTTCCACCGTCGATGCCCAAGCTCTCCCCGCGCAGGCAGGCCGCCCGTGGCTCCGCCTCCTCCCGGGCATGTCCCGCGCGCTCGCTCTCTCCGAGTTTCTCTTCTCTCCCCCGCCCCCTCCACTCCTCGCCCCGCCACGCGGTGCGGTCGGCTCAAAGCCGCATTGTGTGGAGGCAAAGAGGTCCCCTCCGATGTCCCCCCCCTCCCCCCCTGGGGGTTCGTTGTCGGCGGGACCGTCGGACGCCTCCCTCCTGTCGCGTGCGATCCGCGCCCCCGCTCCCTGGCCGCTGCCCCATCCTTGCCCTTCTCCTTCCTGCTGGCCCTCGCCCCCCCCCCCCCCCCCCCCCTCCCCCCCGCCCTCCTCCGTCTCCCCCCCCCCCCTCCCCCCGCCCTCCCCCCCGCCTCGCCCCCCACCCCCCTCCCCATCCCGATCCCGCCTCGCCCGTGCGCCCTCTCCTCTCCCGTCCCCCTCCCCCCCCCGAATATCCGCCCCTCGTCGCAGGTCGGCTCCTCGGGGCCTCGTTCTCGCTCGGGTCTTCACGGAGTCGGCGCACCGACCCTCACCCGCGCAGCTAAAAAACCTCCCCCCTCGACCCCCTCCCCATCCCGCCTCGCCGGTGCGCCCTCCCCCTCGCCCGTCCTACTCTCCCGTCCCCCCCCCCCTCCCCTCCCCCTCGCCGCCTCCCTGCGCCCCGCTGAGGTGGTGAACCTGTGCTACAGGGAGATGATCACCCTGGTGCAGGTCTCGCACGAGGTGATGATCGCGGCAGCCTGCCGCCCCGCCCGCCACCCTCCACCCTCCCCAGACATCCGACGCTTGGCTTAGCTGCCTCGATACGTCCATTTCGATACGCAGCACGTGCCCTGTTGAAAACGTCCGTGTTAGCACGCTGCGTGTTGGCTCAGCGTGTTGGCCCACGCTTTGGGGAACGCATCGCGCCGAACGCACGTTTTCAATCTGCGTGTGGAGCTCCTTGTCGACGAGCTGCGGGTTGCGTTTTGCGTATCGGGGCAGCTGAACTCCCCAGACATCCGACGTGCTCTTTCCACGGCGGGGCTCCCCAGAGGTCCGAACTCCTTCCCAGGGACTGGCCTCTCGTCTTCATCAAATCTTTGACGGTCCCAGGAGCCCGGCCAGGGCCTTCAGAAGCCGAAAATGGTCACGGCGTACCTTGGGAATGTCTGAGGAGGAGGGGGAGCGGGAGGAGGAGGAGGAGGAGGAGGAGGAGGAGGATGAGGAGATGGAGGAGGAAGAGGAGAAGGAAGAGGAGGAGGAGGAGGAGGAGGAGGAGGAGGAGGAGGAGGAGAAGGAAAAGGAGAAGGGAAAGGAAGAAGTAGGAGGGATAATGAGAAGGAGAAGGAGAAGGAGGATCAGGGTCTATGTTTCTCTCGCCGGATCTCTGGCTCCGCCGCGCTTCTCTTGCAGATCCCGGGCCCTCCGAAGCGCCACGATGAAACAAACGCATCGCGGGACGGTCAGCCTCTCTTCGGCTCGGGCTCTCTTGGCGAGGCCCGAGAGCTCGGGGGCCTCCTGGCGGCCCGTCCGAGAGCGGCAGAAGAGACCAGTGCTCAAGTGGTCACGGCACGAACCTGCCGTGTACACTGTGAGCCTGCTCGAGCCAGGAGGAGGAGGAGGAGGAGGAGGAGGAGGAGGAGGAGGAGGAGGAGGAGGAGGAGGAGGAGGGGGAGGAGGGGGAGGAGGAGGAGGAGGAGGAGGAGGAGGAGGAGGCGGAGGAGGAGGAGGAGGAGGAGGAGGAGGAGGAGGAGGAGGAGGAGGAGGAGGAGGAGGAGGAGAGAGGAGGAGGAGGAGGAGGAGGGAGGAGGAGGAGGGAGGAGGAGGAGGGAGGAGGAGGAGGAGGAGGAGGAGGAGGAGGAGGAGGAGGAGGAGGAGGAGGAGGAGGAGGAGGAGGAGGAGGAGGAGGAGGAGGAGGGAGGAGGAGGGAGGAGGAGGAGGAGGAGGAGGAGGAGGAGGAGGAGCCGCCGCTGCTGCAGCCGCACCAGCTGCTCGCGGGTCCGCTCGGACCGTTCCGTGGGACCCTGCGTCGATCCCACGGCGGGCGGCCACGGCCTGCCTTTGCGAGCAGCTTTGGATAATCAGACGGCTTCAGCGCTACTGGGGCCACGTTGGGCAACTACTTCAACGTGTATGTGCCAAAGAGCTGCGTGAAAGGCTTCGACTGTGTATCACACCGCACCAGAGGAGCAGTTGCAGCAGTTGACAGCGCAGGTGCGCGAACTCACAGCAGAGTTGACGAGGCAGAGGGACCTGATCAATGCTGTTCAGGCCCAGCGGATGCAGGACCTCGAGGCGATGACCAAGCTGCAGCAGACAATCCTCTTGGAACGAGAGACGACCAAGAAGAAGGTGCAGTTGGTGGATGTCAAGGGTATTGGCAAGCCGACGGTTTTCAACAGCGACATGAAGACGTGGAGCGGCTGGGCTTTCAAGTTGACCAATTTCCTGGAGAGCGTGACGACGGGCATCAAGGAAGCCCTGAACTACGTCCAGGATCAGGAAGAGCCGCTGACGAAGGAGAACTTGGACGAGATTGGGGAGGTCTTCACCTTAGAGCACGAGGACACGGACATCAAGACCATCGGCAGGCAGCTGTACACGGTGTTGGCCCAGCTCTGCGATGGCGAGGCTCTGGATCTAGTGCAGGCGACGAAGGACAACGACGGGTTCGAGGCTTGGCGTGTGGTGTCGAGGAGGTTCGACCCACAGGGAGCTGGCAGGAAGCGGAACCTCCTGGGCTCGCTAATTCAACTGGGAGCGGTCGACGCCCCACAGCTGAACAGCCACATCGCCAAGTGGGAGGAGCGGGTCCGCGTCTACGAGAGGCGGGCCGGCCATGTGATGCAGGAGGACATCAAGGCGCAGGTGCTCGTGAGCATGACAAAGGGCGTGCTCAAGGACCACCTGGTGCTCAACGCGAACAAGCTCAAGACGTACGTGAGCGTGCGCGAGGAGATCCAGAGCTACTTGGAGTCGAAGGTGAACGACACTGCGACCCCCATGGACGTCGGCAGCCTCAACCAGAAGGACATCACCTGCAACAGCTGCGGCAAGAAAGGCCACAAGGAGATCGACTGCTGGCTGCCAGGCGGAGGTGCGCACAAGGGCACCCAGAACCCGAAGGGAAAGGGCAAGGGCGACAGCAAGGGCGGCAAGGGCAAGAGCAAGGGCAAGGAGAAGACCAAGGGAAAGCCGTCTTCGCCCTACCCGCCTCGGCAGCGGCCAAGTGGACAACAAGGCCAGCAACAGCAACAACAGCAGGGATTCCAAGAATACTGCTCACTATGCTGGGGCTGGGGGCACAAGCGGCAGGACTGCCCCACGAATCGTGGACAGCAAACAGGACGACGTGGTGCCAACAGCCTGGAGGCGAACGACAAGCAGGAGCCGGAGACCGAGCAGCCTGGCAACCTCGGCGGGCTGGACCTGTGCACCCTGGAGCTGAATGCGGTGGACGACGCGACGGAAGAGTACTTCTATGCGGCAGTGGATTCTGGGGCGGCGGAGAGCGTTGTCCCAAACACCTGGTTCACGGACGTGCGGGCGAGGCCGACCTTGTCCAGCGAGATGGGCACGAGTTACCGAGCAGCCACCGGACAGTTGGTGCGGGACGAGGGCGAGAAGGTCATCGAGGTCATGACGGAGGACGGCAGCACAAGGCGACTCAGGTGCACATCAACCGGAGTGCACCGCATGCTGCTGGCGGTGTCGAAGCTGGTGGCGAGGGGCCACGAGGTCTACTTCGGGCCGAAGGAGTGCTACCTGAAGCGCCTCGCGACCGGCAGGAGGCTGCTGATCCACCTCCGACGCGGAGTCTACACCCTCAAGCTGGAGAGGGTCAGTGGCCAGGAGAGGAATGCCCCAGACATCAGCGCGATGTCGGGGGACAGGCGGCGGGCTCAGCCGTAAGACCGAACGCCGAGGGCCCTCCTCGACGAGAAGGCGGAAGCTCAGCGGCAGCGCCGGCGGCGGCGGAACCCGTGGAGCCCACGCTGGAGGACGAGGAGGACGAAGACATGGGCGACCCACCGGTCACGGTGGTGCCGCGGCCGTTCGAACCGATGATGGTCGAGCGGGAGGCGCGCGAGGCGGCAGGGCACGTGCAGTTCAGGGCATGGTGCGGAGACTGCGTGGGAGGACGCGGCCGCAATGCCGACCACCGACGACTGGACGCTGAGCGAGAGCATCTAGTCAACGCGATCTCCATTGACTACACGTTCTTCGGTGGAGATGACGAGCGAGCAGAACCTACGCTGGTGATGCGTGAGCACAAGGGGCGATGGACGGTATCGATCGCCGTGGCGAGTAAGGGCACGAAGGATGCCTGGATCATCAAGTGGGTGGCGGAGGCCATCGAGTATACGGGGGTGAAGCACTTCATCTTCAAGAGCGACCAGGAGGCCTCGATCCTGGACCTGAAGAACAAGGTCATCGAGGCGCTGGGTGAGACCTTCAAGATCGTGAAGGAGGAGAGCCCGGTGAAGGAGCACCAGGCCAACGGCGCGATCGAGCGGGCGGTGCAGTCCGTGAGTGGTATCGTGCGGACCCTGAAGCTGGCGGTGGAGCGCCAGTATGGGATCAAGATCGGCCACGACCACGCGATCGTGCCGTGGCTCATCAACTACGCAGGTGTGGTGATCAGCCTGTTCGACGTCGGAGCGGACGGACGCACGGCGTACGAGAGAATTCGCGGGAAGAAGTACCGCAGGGGGCTCCCGCCGTTCGCCGAGACGGTGCACTACCTGCCGGCGGACAGGAACAGGGGCCACAAGAGGAAGCTGGACGCCAAGTGGTTGACGGGCATCTACCTGGGCGTGCAGCTGAAGAGCCAGGAGCTGTACATCGGTTTGGAGTCGGGAGTGGTCAGGGCCAGGGCTGTCAAGCGGAAGGCCGGGGACGACCGCTACAATGTCGAGCTGCTGAAGAAGCTGCAGGGCACACCGTGGCTGCCAGTGCCAGGTGTGACCAAGGACGGGGAGGGCGCGCCGGCGGCGCGATTCCCGATCGCGAAGGCGTCCGACGAGGCGCCTCTGCCAGTCGAGCCGCGGGCACTGCGGCCGGGGACAGGTGCAGGAGGAGTTCCTGGACCGAGGCGGGTATACATCCGCAATGAGGTGGAGATCAAGAAGTTCGGGAAGACCGAGGGGTGCATCGGATGCGAGAGCTACGCCCTGGGCTTCCCAGCTCGCAGCCACAGTGAGGTCTGCAGAGCGAGGATCACGAAGCTCATGGAGGATGACTTCGAGATGAGTAAGCGAGTGAGGATGGCCGAGGAACGGCAAGGAATCAAGAGGCCGGCTGAGAAGCAGGCGGTCGACGTAGAGGAGGCAGCCGGAGGAGGCAGCGGCAGTGCGTCCTCTTCGGCTGCTAGACCGGCCGCAGCAGGAACGGCAGCTGGGCAAGCTCAACCTGCTAAGCCTGGTCAAGATATTTCGGTATCGAGCGCGCTGGTTCACGCTGCGCTCGGAGGCGAGATCTTCACCAAGGGCTCAGGCTCGGGCGTGAAGAGGCAGGCCGAGACCCAGGTGACACCAGAACCGCAGGAGGCGATGGACGAGAGCTCGAGGACGACCTTGAAGCGGCAAGCTGAAAGCCAATAGCCGCGAGGCGTGGAGGAGACCATGGGCGCCAACCTGTTGGGGGAGGTCGAGGGCCTCGTGAAGGATCTGGGCTTCTTCGGCGTGCGCGTGTCGGAGCTGCTCGGGCCGGGCAAGTTCACCAGCAGGGCGGAGTCGTTCGGCCTCAACCCG